AAAGCTACCTCAAAATAGTCCACTCACGAGGGGGTCCACGCCTCGTGGGTCAGTGTCCCAAAAGTGGACTTGCAGACCACCACCCACGGAATACCAGCACGCCCCGTGGGTCCACCCACGGCCCATAGGTGAGGCAGTGAACTGCCTTAGACGATTAAGTTGGAGGTATTACGAAACTTTCCCAAATTAATTAGGAGTTAAGTGGTGTCATTTTATTAGAGTTTAGACCACCTATATAAAGTTATAAGACCCCTAAATTCATAGATCCTAGTCATTATTTCTAAACTCACCAAAAGAACCCAAATTCTCTCCAAGATATCCTCTCTCTAGAAAGAAGAAGAAGAAAAAGAAGAGAATCAAGCTAGGCCAAATTCCTTCAATCTTCCAAGTTTTGTGAGGGCTTTGTATCCAAGGTATGGTAGCTCATTCATACATTGATTCTTCCATCCATGGTGCCCGCTAGAAATCTCCCAATTGTGAACATGAAATCCCCAATTCAAGTTAGGGTTCCTTCCAATATTATGGGTTAAGTTGAGTATGATTCCAATTGAGTGGATATTACTTGTTTATGATTGATTTAGTAGTGAATCATGTTATTATGATGATTTTACATGTTTTCCATGGCTAACCCTAGTTTAATTGATGAAATTGTAGTAATGTGGGTTTATGCCTTGTGAAGGGAAATTGAGGATTTATAGATGATCTTCTACAATTGATGATATGTATAGTAATTGTTCAAGAATGAAATCATATAGAAATGAATTGAATTAGTAAAATGTATATGTGATGGATCATGAATAGAAAAGCTTGAGATTGAACCTTTATGAGGATATATGACTAGAATTGCTTAAGAATGAAGCATGTGACTAGAATGCCTTGTGATCTAGGTATGTATGATGATTGTAAAAGGTAAAGCTTTGAGAGTAAGGCTTTTAGTCATGAATGTTGATTACTAGGGTTTTGATAGTAAATTTGATATGATGAATTATGTATGTTAAGGCTTAAAGAGTGAAGCTTATAGGATAATGGTAGACTACTAGATAGAGTTATTGTGGAACGACTTTACCCACATGACCTAGACTACAAAAGTATGAGATTATGCATGTTCTTATAGAACCTATGTAAATGCTTTATGAACACTTTGAGAGAGAAGTGTCTATGATAATGATATGTTGTTGTGTTGTTGAAATGATATTCTCATATACACACTTAGGCATGAATATGCTAGGAGATCAAAAGGTTCTCTCACATAAAATGATTCTAGGTTGAAAGGCTTACTCACTTAAAATGAATCAAAGCATGTTAGTTATGTTAGCTTGAGGTTGTGTTATGAAACCACTTCGTGTATAGCTTGACTTGGTAAGACAAGACCATCTCATGGTAGCCTATGATTGAGAAACCATCATCTCCTAAGGGTAGATTACACTAGAATCATAAAATGCTTGCATGGTAGCTTGAGTATAAGACCTCATAGTAGCCTAGGATTGAGAAACCATCCTCTCCAAAGGGTAGCTTACACTAGCATCATAGAATGCTTGCATGGTAGCATGACTTGGTTAGGTCAAACCACTTCATTGGTAGCTAGGATGGTGAAATAATACCCTTCCTTGTATAGCTTGGACTTGCATGATAGTATGCTATTCCTTTGGTAGCATGGTCTTGCCGATTATGGTGACTATTCCTTGGTAGCTTGGTCTAGTCTAATAGGGTGCTATTCCTTGGTAGTCTAGAAATGATAAATAGTGATCATTTAAGTATGATATCCTAAAGTGGTACTTAGTATGGGTAGGATTATGGGGTCTTATACATACGTTGCACAAGTATGACTTGAAGCTACTTATGAAGTGTTCTCTTATATGTTGTATGCTTAGCTTGGATTGTTGATATAGTTGCCTTCCATGATATGTTGGACTAAAGGTGAAGATTCCCTTGTCTATGAGAATGAAGCTAAGGATGAGATCTAAAGATGGTAAGTATGATTATGATGACCAAAAAGGGATACTTAGTGTGGGTGGAATTATGGGGTCTCATCCATGCATTGCACAAGTATGATACCATCCATGATGGTAACTAATGCTTATATTATGTCTATGTTGGAGATTATGCCTATGACTATGTTATTGTCGCATATGCTTATAGCTTATGTTTCATGAAGTATCTCTTATTATTATGGCACATGACTTATGTTGACTAACCCTTATGGTATGCTCTTATGATGTTATGGTAGCTATCATATTTAGTACATTTTGTACTAATGCATACTCTTGCCTACATTCTCATCAAATGTAGGGTTTGGCGATTTTGAGTTCCATTCTTGAGGGTAGGTTTCTAGAAGAGCAAGGAGTTGAAGACTTGGTGAGTCGTCATAGCATCGAAGATTTGATCACCTTTCCTTTATGTCTATTTTTATGTTTTGAGACTAGTGTATGGGATGTGTCCCAAGACTTATTCAAAGTTGTTATAGATGGTTTGAGACAAGTGTAATAAGACTTCCGCTTTGCTTTTATAAAGACTTTGATTGTATGGAAAATATTTTAAAATATCCGCACTTTTCTATTATTTTATGTTATGATGTTATGATATGCTAAGTGGCTTACATTGAGTCCTTCGGGGTTGTATATGCCATGTTACATCTAGGGTGCACCCTGGGTCGTGACATATCTTCGTTCCTCCTTATCACATGGCTTTGAAAGAATTGAGAGAGCTTAAACCTCAAATCCAGGAGCTTCTTGAAAAAGATTTTATCCGTCCTAGTGCTTCCCCGTGGGGTGCTCCTGTCCTGTTTGTTAATAAGAAGATGGTAGTATGAAGATGTGCATAGATTATTGACAGTTGAATAGGGTCACCACTCAGAATAAGTATCTGTTGACTCAAATAGATGATCTTTTTGACCAGTTGCAGGGTGCATTAGTTTTCTCTAAAATTGACCTAAGGTCTAGTTACCATCAGTAAAAGATTAGGCCTGAGGATGTACCAAAAATGGCATTCAGAACCCGTTATGGGCACTATGAGTTCTTGGTGATGTCATTTGGGTTTACCAATACGCCTGCAACTTTATGATTTTGATGAATGGTGTGTTTAAACCATTCCTAGATTCTTTTGTGATTGTCTTTATTGATGACATTTTGGTTTATTTGAAGAGTAAGGAACAGCATGCCGATCATTTTTGTATTGTTTTGGGTGTCTTGGAAAACATAAGTTGCATGCAAAATTTTCCAAGTGTGAGTTCTAGTTGACTTCACTTGCCTTCTTAGGGCATGTGATTTCAAAGAAGGGGGTAATGGTAGATCCCCAAAAGATCAAAGTAGTCAAGAACTGGGTCTAGCCTAGCTCTGTGATGGAAGTTAGGAGTTTCGTGGGACTCGCCAACTACTACCGGTGATTTGTGAAAATTTTTCCTTCTATCGTCTTGCATTTAACAAGGCTGACCAAAAAGGAGGTCCCTTTCGAGTGGACTAACAAATGTGAAGAGAGCTTCCAAAAGCTTAAGACCCTTCTGACCACAACACCTCTTCAGGCACTGCCGGTGGAAGGTAAAGATTCCATTGTTTATTCTGATGCTTCACATTCGGGATTGGGTGTTGTGTTAATACAGGATAAGAATGTTATAGCTTATGCACTGCGGTAGCTGAAAGTGCATGAGAGGAACTACCCGACGCATGACTTAGAGTTGGCAGTGGTAGTGTTTGCCCTCAAGATCTGGAGACATTACCTTTATGGTGTTAAGTGTGAGGTGTTTACTGACCATCGTAGTCTACAACATTTAATCACTTAGAAGGACTTGAATTTGAGACAGTGAAAGGTGGATGGAGTTACTCAAGGATTATGACGTTACCATCCAGTATCATCCATGTAAGGCTAACGTGGTGGCAGACGCATTAAGTCGGAAGGCGGTGAGTATGGGTAGTCTAGATTGATTGGGTGTGTCCAAGCGACCTTTGGCCAAGGAGATTCAAACCTTGGAGTCTAAGTTCATGCAATTGGGCATCTCAAAGAAAGGTGGGGTGTCATCCAGCATTGAGGTTAGACCCACATTCATTGAGGAGATCAAGGCCAAGCAGTTTGAGGATGAGAGTTTGAATGAGCTCAGTAAGAAGAATGTGTCTGGTAAGGCACAAAATATGGTTCTTGATGCAGGTGATGTGCTTAGTTTTAAGGGGAGAATTTATGTTCCTCGAGTGGATGACTTGATTCAGAAGATGTATTACATTCATTCGGGTTTGACCAAAATATACCAAGATTTGAAAAGACTTTATTGGTGGCCTGGCATGAAGAAAGACATAGCTGAGTTTGTGGGTAAATGCCAAAACTGTCAGCAAGTAAAGTATGAGCACCAAAGGCCTGCAGGTTTGCTTCAACGAATGCCAATTCCGAAATGGAAGTGGGAAAGGATGGCTATGGATTTTGAGGTTGGTCTTCCCAAGACCTTGGGAAACTTTGACTCTATTTTGGTGGTGGTTAACAGACTGACTAAGTCGGTCCACTTCATTGTCAGAGTGGACTATAATGCTCAGAGTTGGCTAAGGTTTATTGGAAAGAGATAGTGAGGTGGCATGGGGTGCCCCTTTCTATAATCTCGGACCGTGGTACTAGTTCACATCCAAGTTTTGGGGAAAATTGCATGAGGAGTTGGGCACTTAACTCACATTTCGCACAACTTTCCACCCATAGATGGATGGACAATCAGAGATAACGATTCAAGTGTTAGAGGACATGCTGAGGGCATGTGTGATTGACTTTGGAGGATATTGGTATAAGTTCCTACCTTTTTTTGAGTTCTCATATAATAACAGTTACCACTGCAGCATTGACATGGCACCGTGCGAGGCACTTTACGATAGGGGATGTAGATCACCCATAGGGTGATTTTAGGCTGGAGATGTGCAACCTTTGGGGGCTGATTTGGTGAAAGATGCTCAGGATAAGGTAAGGAGCATTCAAGCTATGCTTCTAGCAGCCCAGAGTCGACAGAAAAATATGTGCACCATAAGGTAAGGGACATGACATTTCAGTCTGGTGAGCAAGTTTTTCTTAAAGTGTCACCTATAGAGGGGGTGCTGAGATTCGGTAAAAAGGGCAAGCTTAGTCCTCGATACAGCGAGCCATTTGAGATTCTTGTGTGTCTAGGGCCAGTGGCTTATAGGTTGGCTATACCACCTTGCCTATCTGGAGTCCATCCAGTATTCCATCAGTCCATGTTGAAGAAGTGTCATGGGGACGAAGATTACATCATAAAGTGGGACTCAGTTTCTTTAGACAAAGACTTTCAGTATGAGGAGGAACCAGTTTCAATTCCGGGTGACGATGTCCAGAAGCTGAGGACCAAGGAGATACAGTCCCTGAAGGTTCAAGGGAACCATCGTCTAGTTGAGGAAGCTACTTGTGTCACGACCCAGGAGTACCCCCTAGACGTAACACGGCATACAAGACTCCGAAAAGCCTCATACAAGCCCTTAGCATATCATGATCATAAGATAATAGAAAAGTACGGGAAAATTTTAAAACTTTTCTTTACAATTGAAATCATTTTCATAAAAGCAAGTGAAAGTCTTTCTATACTTTGTCTCAAACCATCTAATACATATTTTATAATTGAATTCTTAGGACACAGCCCGTAGAATAGTCTCAGCATGAAAATAAAAGACATAAAGGATATAAAAATACTCACAATATAGAATTAGTAATATTTTCAATAGACAAATTAAAATTAATTCAAGAAAAATTAGATATGTTATATAGTGAAGATCCCTTAAAAGGATGGGAAAACCATAAAACAAAAGTAAAAATTGAACTAATTGATGAAAATAGCATAATAACCCAAAAACCATTGAAATATAATTTTGAAGATTTAAAAGAATTTAAAATGCATATAAAAGAATTATTAGATAACAAATATATTCAAGAAAGTAATAGCAAACATACAAGTCCAGCATTCATAGTAAATAAACACAGCGAACAAAAAAGAGGTAAAAGTCGTATGGTTATTGACTATAGAAATTTAAATGCAAAGACAAAAACATATAATTACCCCATACCTAACAAAGTATTAAAAGTAAGACAAATACAAGGATATAATTATTTTAGTAAATTTGATTGTAAATCAGGATTTTACCATCTAAAGTTAGAAGAAGAATCTAAAAAACTAACAGCTTTTACAGTACCACAAGGATTTTATGAATGGAACGTACTACCTTTTGGATACAAAAATGCACCAGGAAGATACCAACATTTTATGGATAATTATTTTAACCAACTAGAAATTTGTATAGTATACATAGATGATATATTGTTATATTCACGAACAGAAGAAGACCATATACGATTGTTAGAAAAATTTATACATATTATAACATATTCAGGAATAAGTTTAAGTAAGAAAAAGGCAGAAATAATGAAAAATCAAATAGAATTTTTAGGAATACAAATAGATAAGAATGGTATAAAAATGCAGAACCATATAGTACAAAAAATAATAAACTCTGACGAACAAATAGATACGAAAAAGAAATTACAATCATTTTTAGGATTAGTAAACCAGGTAAGGGAATATATACCTAATTTAGCAGAAAATCTAAAACCTTTGCACAAAAAACTAAAGAAGGATGTAGAATATTATTTTGATAAAAAGGATCAAGAACAAATACAAAAAATAAAATCATTATGTAAGAAGTTACCTTAATTATATTTTCCAGATGAAAATAAAAAATTTATATACATAGTAGAATCAGACGCTAGTGAAATAAGTTACGGAGGAGTATTAAAATATAAATATGAAAAAGAAAAACTAGAACATCATTGTAGATACTACTCAGGAACATTTACAAATCCTGAAAAAAATGGGAAATAAATAGAAAAGAATTATATGCACTATATAAATGTTTATTAGCTTTTGAACCATATATAGTATATAATAAGTTCATTGTAAGAACAGATAATACGCAGGTGAAATGGTGGATTACAAGGAAGATACAAGATTCAGTAACAACAAAAGAAATACGAAGACTAGTATTAAATATACAGAATTTTACATTTACAATAGAAGTAATAAGTATTAACAAAAATGTCATTGCAGACTACATATCAAGACAAAGCTACACAGACGGACCTAGACAAAGATGAAAAAATATTCAATGCTATAGCAATGCTTTGTACAAAGATAGATAATATGGACAAAGAGATACAAAAAATGAAAGGTCAGCAGCATGACGGTAAATATGCGGAGCTAAGTCGACCGGAAGACTTAAAAATTCCAGAGCTAGAAGGTGACGCTGGGAAACACCGAAAAACCCAAGCTAACAATTTATTACATGCAGCTACAGGTAGCACATCATCTACAAAAGAGGAGAAAAGATATGTCAATACAAATATGAACAAGATATTCGAAAAACCATTTATACCCAAAAAACAAAACCCCATATTTGTACCACCTCAAATAAATACCTATAAGGAAAGTCTAAACCAGGACAAAAAAACCTATAACCATATAACCAGAGCATACATAGAAAATATCCACAAAATACAAACCTTTTTAAATAAAAACCCCAGATCAAAAACTACCCAAAATCCACATGAAGATTATATTACCCAAGCTTTGCAAGGATATAATAAACTAATCACTTTACCTAAGACAAATGCAAACCTAATAGCAACTTGCTATAACTATGGATTATTGAACACAGTATATACCCAAACTGGAGATGAAATAGCTACGATACCAGAGTTACATAAAGCATTCATGAACTACAAGAGAATAACTAAAGGAACTTTGTTTTATATAAAGTTTTATTCAGCACCAGCAGAAATACTTTACGACGAGATAAAACCGATTATACAAGTCATAAAAATTGGACTAACCAGAGAAATGATTATACCGGAAAAAATAGAGGAGCAAGAGGAGATACAAAAAGTAGAGATACCAGCATTCTATGCAGGAAAAAGGATTATTGGAATAGCTACTATACTGAATGAGCTAACATCTAATTATTTGAACAACAATTCAATATGGAGTTATTATTCACGGGAACAAACAATGATATATTCGAATTGTCGACAATTTAGAGCAGCAGATATGGAAGAACTCAGGCAATGGGCACTAAGTCTACTAAAACCTGAGCAACAACCTACAACAAGAGCTATACGGAAAGATTTTATCTCTTCAGAAATAATGACCAGATACTACAAAACTATTGGCCATAAATATCCGGATCATCAATGTTCCAAATGTCAAGGCGAAGATAATGTGATCCCAGACGTGCAGCTAGAGTAAAAACAAGGAAGTGACAAAACCGATAAGATAAAAAGAAAAAGCTATAAATGGAGCTACTTTGCTAAGTGGAGCTACTTTATCAAAAGAAAAGATAGTAGTAACGTGTTAAGATAGAAATATTATGTACAAAATGTAAAGTAAAGTTGTTTGTCATTTTGTTGACTTTGTAAAGTAGTGCAGATGTAAAGAAGCACTAATGTGTTAGTTTAAGTAGGAATATGTACAAAAGTAGGAATAGTAAAGTAACTATAGTTAGGTGTAAAGTAATCATAGTAGGAATAAAGTAACCATAGTAAGGTTACTTATATGTGTATAAATAGGTAGCCATTATGGCATATAGAGGCAAGACTTTCTACACGGAAAGCAAGTCTCTCTTGTAAACAAAAATATTCTCAATAAAAATCTAAAGTTTCAGTTAAGCTACGGATCCAAATAGTGAAGATACTACACAGGTATATACATTTATGATTATGCATAACTAAATTTATTAATTCCTGAATATCATAGTAATGATAGAATAGAATTTATATTAGTTATTATATAGTAGAATTATTTTTAGATGTTTTCTAGTTTGTTAACATGAGGAAAGAAAGGAAAACTTCCAGACTATGCCATCCTAAAGTTGAAACCATAGGCAAGAAGCCGTGAAGGGAGTAAACATAGTTGAGGCGCTGTTAGGAAGAAAATACTTTCGAAAGTACGATGTTAACAGTGACCGGAAAACATGTTGAAAATAATCTAGTTTATAGTAATCTAATATGAATAATATTCGTCAAGACTATGGTATAAGGGAATTATGTTTTGAAATTATTATGCCTAATTTGCATGACGAAATGATATTAGCATATAAAATATTAATCTTGTATGTATTAAGAAACATAGAAATTACGGAACTAAAACAAATGATATGGCAGCTGATATTTGAAGAAGAAGAAGAAGAATTAATGAACCAGGAATGGTATGAATTCGAATTAGATAGAGTAGAAATGGAAATGTTAAAATTTAACTTAAGTGATTTAGAAATCCAATATACTGATTAATGATAAATCAAGAATACTTAGAATATTGGCAACAAACTATAATAGATATTACTTTATTAAATAATTTAATTAAAGAAAACATAGAAGCATTTCAACAAACTCACGACATACAATACATAGAGTATATATTAGAAAACATAAAAGAAATTATAAGATTAATACCTTTAGAAAAGATGTATTATGACAAAATTAATTCATAATATATTTATGAATCGGGACCCCCCCCCCCCAAGTTGGTATCAGAGCAGTAATAAAAAAGGAATATAAAAATGGATAATAAAGAGAATCATAGATACGAATTAATAAGAACAGTAATAACAAAACGACAAGAGTTAAAACATAAGCAAGAAAGGTTACAATACAATATATATGCAGGAGTATGTCAAAAATCTTTGCTAGCACAAAGAAAAGTAATATTTAAATTACAATTAGATATACAAAAAATAGAGTATAAATTAAAACATAATTTAAAATGAATAAGGAAGAATTTGCTATAGAAGAAAAAACCTACGAAAATCCAGAAGGATTAAAAATAAAAATAATATTTTCAAATTTAGGAAGAAGGTATAAAAAAATAGGTGAAAATTTATATCTAATGATAGAAAAAGAAACGGTAAGATTAGAAGATAGTCTAACTGCAATGGTACGGATAACTAGAGAAAATGAAGAAATAGATAGGAAAAAAGAAATAGACACAATAAAACAACAAGCAAAATTAGAAATACAACAGATTGAAGAAGTAAAAAATGATAAAATAATTGCCTTAGAAAAAGAATTAACTATGCTTAAAGAATTATATGCGGCTAAACAAAAAGAAAAAGAAATAGAAACGAACTTAAAAATGGAGATAGAAAAATTTAAGGAACAACTAACTAAAGAAAACCCAAATATAGGACTTGATAATGTTGATATAGATGAAAACTGCTCAGAACAAGGCTCAGATATAAGTCAATGTACCAAGTATGATAGCTAGCACAACATCATAAGAGCATCTCAAAATGGTGAGTCAACATGAGACATAAACATAAGAGATAATAACATAGTCATAGCATAATCTCCAACATAAGCATCATATAATCATAAGTCAACATAAGACATAGTTAATGAGCATAGGAGATAAGTCATAGTCATAATAAGCATAATTGACCCTTAGTCATCTATACCATAATAGAACCATTCTCAAGTAACCTCAAAATCATACAAGTGCAAAGCATGAATAGCATCCCATAATACCACCCAAGCCAAGTATCCCTTTTTGGTCATCTTAATCATAGCTTATACGTATGGTCAAGTCTTTAAGATTCTATACCATAAGATCACCATACTTC